ACAGGACAAAGCAACAGCATGAGAGCATGAGCATCAATTTTCGGAGGTCAGCGCGAATTTCTGGCGACGGCGCTGGACCCTCTTTCCCCACACGCCTTCCCCAGGGGCGGTGCTGGTGGAGCCGCTCAGGGTGCAGGGAGAGGAGTCCAGCGCCGACCAGAAAAATCCGCGCGGACCTCCGAAAAGCTAAACTCTCGGAGGCGCGCTGGAAACCGAACACGTGGTGCGCCACCGTGCAGCCTGGCACGCTGAGGCGTGGTAGAATGTGAGCGTTTTCTTATTCGGCGTTTCGAGATTGGGCGGAAATGGAGGGGAGAGGGGGGGGTCTGCCTCCGGACATCTGCTTAATGCGACTGTTTGCAGCAGTGCGTCATATGGGAGAGGCTCCACCTGCTCGAAAGGGGTGCCAAAAACAGCCAAGATCTACTCGGGGGGCTCGAGGGCCCGCGCCGATCGGCAAAACAAGGAGTACAGTCGGGGCGTTGACCTAAGGAACCCTAAATAAGGAACGAGTCCCCTTAATTCCATAAGTTAAACTTCGATCTCCGATCGAAAACATAAGGAAAACCTGAGGCAAGCTGTGAAACATTTAAGGAACGCGGAGCCCCTCCCCAACGAAAAGGGTTCCTTCTTCAGGGCCCCGACTGTAAGAAAACGATCACAATGCCAAGTTCTGTCTGGTAGGATGCATGCAGTATTCGAAAGGCCTTCCCCCCCCTCGAAACAGAGTGCTGCATGCATCCGTCCCCGCCTCCCTAGACCCCCTCGGCGGCTCGACGCCACCCTGCGGCTGCCACAGGCGGTCCACGGCCTCCAAGGCGGCCCAGGAACGCCACCAGGGCCGCCAAGATGGCACAAGGTTGCTTCCCAAGAGGCACCCGACGGCTCCCGAGAAGGCCCCAAGAGGCGCCAGAGAGGCCCTGAGAGGTCTGCAAGATCTCAAAGCGAAGGCCAGCAGACCATGCAGAATCCTGAAAGATCAGAAATATGATGCTGCTCCCATCGTACTTGAGGACCACATCCCAGAAATGATTTCGAGCACCCGGGAAAGTGTCGAAGGAGTGTCGAAAGAGTGTCGAAACAGTGTCGGAGCGTGAGTTTTTAGGTACTTTTCTGGTGCTCGAAATTCTTTCGTGCGATCAAGGCTGAAGTAGGCTGGAGCATCATGACAGAAGTCTTCAAAGCCTGTGGAAGAGCATGCGTGTGTTCGTGGTATGCTGTGTCCACGGCCTCTCGGCCCAAGACGGTTCCAAGAGGGCATCGGAGGAGCCAGAGAGAGGCCGCAAGAGCCCAATGAGGGCCTCCAGAGGCCCCCACAGACTGTTCGGGGCAGCCCCGAAAGGGCCCCAAGACGGCCCAGGAGAGGACTCGGATAGCCCAAGAGAGCCCCAAGATAGCCCGAGAAGACCCCAGGAACCCCGAAGGCAGTCCCAAGAGACTCCCCAGACCACCGAGAGGAGCCCGAGACGGCGCAAGAGTGCCCAAGAGGACCCCAACTGGGGTTCCAAGAGGGATGCTGCTCCCCCTCCCTCTACTCCGCCTCTCTTTCCCTCCCGCAGGTGTTCCCCCAAGGGTTTCCACAACGGCCGGGGGAGCACGCAGCCCAGCAGCTTGGCGGTGCTTCGGCCCAAAGTGTGGCTACACGGGCGTTTCCAGAAGGCAGGGGGCGGCCGGCGGTGGGTCGACGCAGGCGTCTTGGATATCACTACCTTGCCTTATTGCAAACATACTGTAGCTTGCTCCCCTCGCGTTCGCCCCCACGGGGGTCAAAAGCCAGGCGTTCCACGATGCGCATCGGAAAACCATACGCATGGACTGTTATGCCTGTCAACGTCGACGCTTTGTCGCCGATGGTGCACATTGCGCGCGAGGAATCGGGCGAGGCGCACGTTGCACTCGGAAATCCTGAATGTGATTCTGGCCTGAGTGCCACAATTGGGCTCGGCACATCTTCGGTTGCCCGCCGAGCCCCATATTAAGCGGGGGTCGTAAGGCAGGCGGACGTTGATTCTGGCATGCACAGGATTTGCGTCGTGAACCGCCTGCTCAGTCACTTCAGAAACTGCATTGACCTTGAGGGATCCACGAAACTGGTAAGGAATTTGGGCCAACACCTACTCAGGCGTGCATGCTGTACGACTGTATGCCGCCAAACCTTCGACACTTTCAATGCATGCTGTGCTGTGCTGCGTGCTCTGGCGCGGCGCATGTCTTTCGCCTGAGACTTCCTCACAGCTCTCGCCATCTTCCCGTGAGGGAGAGCGCGTTAGGGCGGAGCGGCTCAACAGGAATCGGCGATTCACCACCGATAGCTCGGCGGCAGGTCCCGATGCCATGATCCCAGGTCGATGGCTCACAGCCCCCCCCCCCCGGGTGGGATGGGCCCCAGGGCTCCACAGCCCCCCCCCCCTAGATGGGATGGGGGGCCGACGCCGCCGACGCCGACGCCGACGCCGCCGACGCCGCGCGACGACGACGACGACGACGACGACGACGACGACGACGACGAACCGCTCCGCACCCACAGGGGATGGGAAGGTGCACTGGCACCCTCCACCACACCACGCCCACAGGGCCACGACCGCCGGGGGGGAGGAGCGATCCCATTCGCGAGGCCTTCGCGAGGCTCACGGGCGTACCCATCCAGCGGGGAATCCCAGATGCATTGGGGGGGGGAGGGCAATGAATGGGCGATTGGGGATCGTTGGAGCCCCCCTGAATCGATCCCCTGGGGGCTTTCGGGTCATAACTCGGGCCTCTGGCGGCCGTTCGGGACGATCCGGACAGCCCCAAAACGCTCTCGGCGAGGCGCAGTCGCGGGAACGCACCCCGAGTCTGAGAAACCGACGAGAACCGACGAGAACATCCGAAAACCTCGAACCTCGAACAACGATACTCCGTCCCCCCCCTAAGAGTTGCCCCTGAGCTACGCCTGCCCCAGATCTCCATCGTCGCGATTTTTTCACAACGTCGACCCCCAGAGGTCTAGACCCTTTCCCCAAGACCGGCTTTTCATCCTGAGCAGTTTTTTACGGTCCCAGGCCCTGGTGAGGGCCCCCAGACGGAGACAAAAGTACCAAAAACTGCTCGTCGGCATCTCTTCTGCCACGAGAAGAGGCGGGGGTCCTCCTGGAGCCCCACCCCGCGTGTGAGAGGCAACGATAGGGGGGGGACTGGCATAGGGGGGGGGATGCATCGACCTGGAATCGGCGATACGTTGCCGATAGATCGGCGATAGGCCCCCGATAGCGAAACCGCACCTTCCTGGGCGGGTTGGGGCTGTCGGGCCCCCATCGGCGATCAACGGGCGATTGGGGGTCGATGCGCCCCCCCCTGTGCCAATCCCTAGGTCGAGCATGTCCCCCTACAGGCGGATTTGGGAGGAAAGACTGGCACTGCCCTAAAAAGACACCAGAAATGCCAGAAACCAGGCGGAAAATCGTCCCGAGACTACTTTCTTGACCATCTCTGAACCTTCCTCCGGTAGAGGGGCACGCCCGACGGAAGCCCATCGCCCCCCCCATATCCGCCCATAGATGCCAGAAAACAGGCGGAAAATCGTCCCCAGACTACTTTCTTGACCATCTCTGAACCTTCCTCCGGTAGAGGGGCACGCCCGACGGAAGCCCATCTTGGGTGTCCCAAAACCGTGTGGTGACAGACCCGGCGGTGACCTCGAAATCCGCAAAGACCTCACCGCACGGTCCGTCACCACACGGTTTTGGGACCCTGGAGGCTCCAGTCGCCCGAGACATCCTCGGAGAACGGCCCAAGTCCCAAAACCGCGTGGTGACTCCTACTCCCCACCGACTCACCACACGGTGTGGTCACCACCCCGTTTGGGAGCCCCCGACCATCGCCCCCCCCCCTATCCGTTGTTGCCCCCGGAGCGCGTGCCGCTGGGCGCCTCCTCGCGGCCCACCAGCGGGTCCATCTCGCCGTCGGCGGCCATGGCCGTAAGGTCGCGGCCGAACTCCGCCAGGGCCGAGCCGGCCTCCGCGCCGCGCTCCTCCTCCTCCTCCTCCTCCTCCTCCTCCTCCTCCTCCTTCTCCTCCTCCTCCTCCTCATCCTCCTCCTCCTCCTCCTCCTCCTCCTCCTCCTCCGATGCTGGGACACCGGCAGTAGGGGGCCACATGCGAACCCTGCCCCTACCCCCCACGAGTTCCGGGGGGGAGGGTGGGGTTCACTTCGCTCGGGAGCTTCCGAGGGGGGGTGAACCCCACCCCCCCCTCAAAAATCGTGGGGGGTAGGGGTAGGGTTCGCATGTGGCCCCCTACTGGCGGTGTTCCACCCCGAGCGCACGCGGCGGGATCGCCACCTCGTCAGCACGACACGAATCTACCCCGTACAGCGTTGCTTCTTCGACTCACCCTCCACAGTCACCCTTCCGTTCCCCCCCATCGCCCTCCACCCTCTGCCAGAGGATGCACGTACACCGATCCTGGCCAAGCTCATCCTGAGCCAAGGATCGTGCACACGACCTCCTGGCTTGGTCAGGGAGGCATGCAGGTCCTCGATGGTCCTGGCCAGGATCGGTGTATGCGCATAGTTCTCGTCGCTGGACTCTCGCTCTTTGTTGGGCCTAGGATGCATCGTGGGCGAAAAACGTATCAGTCCCGTGGGCCGCGACCCCACGGATACCGGGCGTTTTCTCGCGGATGCCCCGCGCGGAGCGTATCCGTGCGACCGCGTATCCGCGGGATCGCGCCCTGGAATCCAGACCGCGAGGGCACGGATACGGATATTGTCGCCGCTCGCGAGATGCAGTCGCGCCTGCATCCTCTCGCCACGTCGGCTTTTCAAAGCCTATGCCACAGCAATCGCGCTCTCGGGAACCAGTGCAGCAGCCTCTCGATCCAATGTGGGCTCCAACAAGCTCCAAGCGCGCCCAAGAGCTCCCCAGGAGCGGTCCATGATGGTTAAGAGCTCTAAAGAAGCGGCGCTAGTTGAATACCCCCTCTTCTTTGATCGATCTCCTCCAAGGTGGCCATAAGACAATTCAAATCGGCTGGGCATCGTTGCTGGATCGGCTGGTGGTCATACGCGCAACGTCAAGCATTTGTTGTTCCGCCATTCATTCCCGCTCCACTTGCCAAGCACCACGCCACCTCTGGATGACTACGCTTAAGTCGGGCCTGTCCCCCTACAGGGGGTTTTTCGACGAAAAATAAAAAAGTACCCCAAAAATAATCAAAAGATACTCTAAAAATAGTCGGGAATCTATGTTTGGAGTATTTTGTAACCTTTTTGGCGTATTTTTGGGGTATGTTTTATTTTTCGTACAAAATCCCCCTGTAGGGGGACACGCCTGACATGAGACTGCGCGTGAACCCTCCCCTGCAGGTCAGACTTCTGAGGAAGCGGCCGGGGCGCAGACCTTCCGCAACGTCTGCAGCCAAGCAAAAGCCCCAGCGGGGGGGTCCGATACCCCAGCATCGACTGGACCCGCGGCTCGCGCAACGGGCCTCGGCGTGGAAGAGAAGAGGGTCCCGCGGGGAACGGGTCCTGGACGCGGGGGCCTCCCCCCGGGGCCAATGCTTCATCCTGAATTGACGAACCAACAACACACACCTATACAACATGCGAAATGCTTAAGAAATCATGGGTTAAGAAATTCATAGTCTCAGAACTTGAATAAAAACCCAACAGTTCCATTCAAATCTTAAGATTTACATTGAAACGTTAAGAAAAATCGAGACTCTGGCCGAAAACTTAGGTTTTCTTAAGCATCGCCCAAGGTGTATACCCATAGGGGGGTCGGAGAGGGCTATGGGTGCGTGTTGTCGGAGGGGGGTCCCCGTTCGAACGGGAGCGTTCCCCAGGGTCCGACAACCCGCACCCATACCCATCGCCAGTCCTCCTCCCAACGACCCCCCTATGGGTATGGGTGTGTGTTGTTCGTTCGTCATGAATCACTTTGTAACGTCCAGGGGCCCAGTGGGACGGCCCCGAGAGCCCGAGACCGGTGGAAAACCTCAGGACCCGTTCCCCTCAGGACTCGCTCGCCTCTCGGATCATCTGGCATTCGGGTCATAACTCGGGTCTCTGGCGGCGCTCAGGACGATCTGGGCACCCCCGGAACAGAACGCTCTCGGCGAGGCGCAGCTGCTGGAGAGCACCCCGAGGTTGAAGAAGCGCCGAGAACCGACGAGAGCATCCGAGAATATCCGTAAACCTCAGGGCCCGTGAACCAGCGGAACGAAAAGGTACACCGCTGCTCCCCGGACCTCTCCCAGGGCGCGTTCTGGCCGGGGGTGGGCGGCGCTGCCGGTACCTCTTTTCCTCCTCTGAAGAGCCGAGTCGTTCGTCGACGGTCCCAGGGACCGGCGAGGGCCTGCCAAGGGCCGAAAATGGGGGGGGGGGGGGGGGGAAAAAACACAAACACAACAACACAATCACAACAACAACAAAAAAACACGCCCGTCGTGTCTTGTTCGTTTGCGCAACGAGGGGGTGTGCTCTCCCTTCCTTTTTTTCTGCGACAGCCTCAGGGCCTTGGAAAGCAACACGCGCAAGTGTTGGTCGTCCCCATGGCGCCCAGTAGAGCGCCCAATCGCGCGCAAAGCGGACACAATACATCTCCCACACATGGCGCTATTGCGCGCTACTGGTCGCTACTGGGCGCTGTATCAACGCTACTCGGCGCTACTGAACGCTATTGGAGCTATTCATCGCTATGGAGCGCTATTGGGCACTATTCGCGGATACACAGTTGACCCACGACGCGCGGATGCCTCCGTGACTTACTGTCTAAAGGCCCCGCTTATCTTATGGCGTGGAGGGTCACAGATGATGATGATGATGATGATGATGATGATGATGATGACGATGATGACCACGATGATGACCATGATAATCATGATGATCATGATGATCATGCTGATCATGATGATGATGGTGATGAACTGATGATGGCTTGATGATGATGCGTATGATGACAGTGGTGGTGATGATGATGATGATGGTAATGATACTGCTGATGCTGCTGCTGATAATGATGATGATGACGATGATGGTGAAGATGTTGATGATGATGATGCTGATACTGATGCTGATGCTGACGCTGATGCTGATGCTGATGCTGTTGCTGATGCTGATGATGATGATGCTGGTGCTGATGCTGATGCTGATGCTGATGCTGATGACAATGACAATGACAATATTACTGATGATGATGATTATGATGATGATGATCCTGATCATGATGATGATGATGACCATGATGATCATGATGATCATGATGATCATGATGATCATGATGATCATGATGATGATGATGATGACCATGATGATCATAATGATCATGGTGATCATGATGATCATGATGATCATGATGATCATGATGATGATGATGATGATGATGATGATGATGATGATGATGATGATGATGATGATGATGATGATCTGCCAGGGCCCCCGCGCCTTCTTCTTGTCCGCCAGGGCGCCCGCGACGGAGCCGCCGGCGCTGCCCTCGGCGGCCTCCATGAGCTCCTGCAGCTCCTGCGGCGCGGCCCCCCCTCCTGTACCGGAGGCCTCCCAGATGGGGTCCGAGTACAGCCAGCGTTGAAGGGAAACTGGGACACACAAATAAATACACACCCAAAAAAAAAAATCCCTATATTTTCCCATATTTTCTGGGTTTTTGTCTTCCCCACCACTTCCGATATTTTCCCATATTTTCTGGAAAAAAGACGATTAATTGTCTGTGTGTTTTTTCCCCTCGTGACAGATGGGGTCCGAGTACAGCCAGCGTGCTGCCAGCAGGAGCGCACGACAAGGGACGAAGGGAACGCAAGCAGGCTCCACGACAGACAATCGACGATGCGCCCCGAAAACACGAGCCCCTCCTGAGCCCAAAGCGGTCCTCATTTTAGCTTCTTGAGTGCAGGTCGGAGGATCGCACCGCATCGGCGATGCATCGACGATGCATCGACAATGTATTGGCGACATCGGCGGTGCATGGGCGACGCAGACGTGGAGGAAATCGGGCTCGGCATCGAGCCGCATCGCCGGTGCATCGGCGATGCGGCGCGATCCTTCAAACCTGTCTACTCGGACCTCGCTTGGGAGGCCTAGATTCGGGGATGGACAGACCCCCCTTTAGCAAAACGTGGTTTAGTGAAAACGACTTCGGGCCCAAACCTGGCGGGCGCAAGCCTGGAAAACAACGGCCGCGGCGCCCTCTCGAGAACCGAAAACGGACAATTCACTAATCGACGTGTCACTGTTGGGGGTTCTGTCCACCCCCGATAGATGGACCGACTGGGCGGGAGAGATGAGCCCCCACCTCCTCTCGTTCTTCGAGAGCTGAGGTGCGAAGCTCTCGAACCCTTCCTCCGCGTCAATTCTCGTCGGCCTTTCAGCCCCGGGACGCCTTCCTACCACTGCGCCTCCCTGGGAGCGTCTTTCGGGGGTGCCCGGACCGTCCCGAGCGGCCGCCAGAGACCTGTGCTAGGATCCGAAAACCCAATAGGGCCGTGGACCCCCACCAGCCCCCGCTGCAAAAAGAAGACGGGAAGCGCGGCGATCTTCGGGCTCCGGGAGCGCCCTCACCGGGGCCGTGAAAAAATTATTCGGGATGAGTGACTGGTCCTGGGGCAGCGTCGGGTCGGGCGAAAGGGGGGTGTTGCAAAGGGGGGGGGTGAGAATCAGCTCACGTAGCTGAGTTTCCCCGCGCCTCGCGGCGCCGGAGGCGGCTATGTATCGAGGAATGGGCCCTTCGGTGGGGCCGAAACCAGCTGCACGCAGCAAATTTCGTAACCCCCCCCTTTCCCAATGCCCCCCTTTCGTCCGGCCCGACAGTGGTCCAGACCTCCAGGGGTCGACAGGTTGAAGAGATCTCGGCGCCAGACCTGGGAAGGGCAGGGTTCGAGTGCTGCCACGGGCGTCCCTGGCCCAAGGGGCCCCCACGAGAGCTGCCTTGCCCCCCAGGCACTCGGCGCCACGCCGAAAAAACGGGACGGAGGCGTTTCATCGCGCTCGGCCCCTCGGGGCCCTTCCTGGGCCCCTGGGCCGTGACAAAAACAGCTCGGATGAAGAACTGGCCCCATGATGGGCCTGCTTTCCACCGCCACCACCACAAATTGGAGGGGGGAAGGAGGTGGAGGAGGAGGAGGAGGAGGAGGACAAAGAGGAAGAGGAGCAGGAGGAGGAGGAGGAGGAGGAGGACCCCCTCCCCCTCCAACTTTATGGTGGCGGTGGTGGAGAACAGGCCCATCCATCCCAGGGACAAGGTCGAGACGTCGGGGGCGAAGGAGGAGGAGGAGGTGGAGGAGGAGGAGGAGGAGGTGGAAGGGGGACGGGGGTGGAAGGGGGAGGAAGGAAGATGGAGGAGGAGAAAAGGAAGATGAAGGGCGGAGGGAGGAGGAAGGAAGAGGAGAAATAAACAAAAAAAAAAGAGGCTGGGGAAAGGATGGAGGAGGAGGAGTAAGGAGGAGTGAGGGAGATGAGGAGGAGGAGGGAGGAGAGGATGAGTATGAGTCAGGAGGGGGAAGGCGGAGGAGGAGGAGGTAGGAGGAGGAAAGGAGGAGGAAGGAGGGGTGTGGAGGTGGAGGTGGTAGGTGGGGGGAGGAGGATGAGGAGGAGGAAGGAGGAGGAGGAGGCTAGGAGGTGGGGTAGGAGAGGAGGCGGAGGAGGGGAGGAAGGAGGGGGAAGGAGGAGGAGGATGAAGGAGGGAGGAGGAGGAAGGCGGAGGAACCCCCCCCCTCCCCTCCACTTCTGGTGGCGCGTGGTGGAGGAACAGGCCCATCATATTCTCTCCTAGGGGAGCTAGGGGCCGAGACGCCGCATTCCGGGTCCCGTGTCTCGAGGCGAGCAGAGCGTCTGGGCGGACAGGTGGGGTGGGCACTCCCCTGGGTAGCGGTGGTCCAAGGGAGGTCGCCCTCAGACGCACGGCGGGTCGCCGTCTGACCCCCTCTGGGCCCCTCTGAGCCTCCTCCCGTCACCTTCCTCTTCCCTCTCCTTCCTCTTCTTTTTCCTCTCCCGCCCTCTCCCTTCCTCACTTTTCCTCCCTCCCTCCCTCTCCGTTTCCTCCCTTCCTCACCTTCCCCCACTTTTCCCATTCGTCCCTCACTTTTTCCCTTTCAAAACCTTCCTCCTCTTTTATCTTCCTCCACCTCTCCTGCCTCCTCTCAATATCGTTCCCTCTTTCTCTTCTTCCCCACTCTTCTTTCCTCTTTCCTCCTCCCCCCTCTTGGTACCACCTCCTCCTCTTCCTCCTCTCCTCCCCCTCTGTCTCACACTCACATCCTTTTCCTTTCCTGACCCGTCGCCCGTCGCCGTCGTCGCCGCCGACGGCGTCGTCGGCGGCCCCTCGGCCCCTCGGCCCTTGGCCTTGGCCCAGCTCGGCTCGGCCCCCAGCCGCCGCCGCGGCACGGGAGAGGAAGGAAAAGGAGGAGGCGATGGGGGGGTGAGGAAGGAGAGGGAACGGAAAGAGAGAGAGGGAGAGAGAGAGAGAGAGAGAGAGGGATAGAGAGAGAGACTGAAAAAAAAACAATGGAGCGAGCTAGGGAGTGAGAGAGAGAGAGAGAGAGAACGAAAGAAATCAAGAAATCCAGAAAAAAAACAAAAGAAACAAGAAACAATGAACAAGAAATAGAGAGAGAGGGAGAGATGGGTGGGAGGAGGGAGGGAAAGGGAGGGAGAGGAGGGGGAGGACAGGGCGGAAAAACAAAAAAAAGAAAAAAAAAAAAACAAACACAAAAAAAAAATGGGGAACACGGAAGGAGGGAGCGCGGAACAGCAGCAAGCAGCAAGCAGCATCAGCATCCAGCAGCAGCAGCAGCAGAGCAGGTAAGAATGAAGAAAAAAAATAATCAAAAAAAAAAAAATAAAAACAGAAAAAAAAAAAAAGTTAAAAACGAAGACGAAAGGTAAAAAATAGCCGGCGGAGGCGGCGGTGGCTGAGCGGCGGCGGCGGCCGAGTCGTTGTTGCCGACGTGGCCGCTGCTCGGGCCCGAGCGGCTCCGAGCGGGCCGACTCCGCGTGGCGGTCGCGGGGCGGGCCGCCGCCAGCCCGCCGCCGGCGCCGCGGCGCCGCGGCCGCGGGCCGCGGTCCAGAGGCCGCCCGGCAGCCGAGCGGAGCTGGGGGAGAGGACGAGGGAGGAGGAGGAGGAGGAGGAGGAGGAGGAGGAGGAGGAGAGGAGGAGGAGGAGGAGGAGGAGGAGGAGGAGGAGGAATAGGAATAGGAATAGCAACATGACGATGTCAATGAGAGAAAGAAACTACCCCCCATGCTTCCGCCGTGCAGCCCGTTCGGCTGCACTTAGAGGCTTGGGAATAACACCTCGATGGAAACGGTCCAGATAAGACCGTCTCGTATCATTGAGGGAATCAGAACCAAGACACTCTTGCCTGAGCCCCGCTTGTAGGTTGGCCGTGAAGAAAAACCCGCAAGCCCCACAGATCCAGACCCCGAGTGACTGATGAAACAACATGCGATGAGATTCGTGAGCACACCCCCCAGCTAAGTGCAGCTTCCGTCTTGGCCCCTTAGACACCACAGAGTCGACATGTTCTAAAGGCTCGCAAGGGGATTCTAACCACTCGTGGAGGGTGGCCTTCGTGCCGCTACTACGGCACGTGGAACACTTAAACCCACATTCACTAAGCGTGTGAGCTGTATTAAACCTGGCTACGACCGCGGGGGAGGGCGGCGGCGGGGCAGGGGCCGAAGAGGCACGACCACCAGGAGCGAGCGCAGAAATCTTCGCTTCCTCACGCTCGGCGACCGTGGCCTCCAAGGTGGCCCTGAGGAGCCTCCGCCTGATCAAAGCAGCTCGTCCCTCTACCTCCGCGATCCTAGACCGAACACTACTGGGCAACCTACAACGCTCAGCGGCCCCCGAGGCAATGGCGTCAGCCACTTCATTACCGCGCAACATCCACTCGGGGGTCTGTTTCTCGCACACATCCTGGGCGGTCTGGTGGGAGTTGACATGCAGAACGACGATCTCGCTGAAGTCTCTGTGCTTAACCAGAGCTCCGATCTCCGCCCACAAGCCGTTCATCTCACTCTTCCCAGGATTGAGATACTGCTGAGCGTGCCATCCACGCACAACATTTTCATTATCTGAAATGTACACTGTCGGGCCTGCTGACCACCGTATAGCAAGTTCCAAACACCGAAGCTCACCTCTCGGCACAGATTGAACTCGTCCTGTTAGTGGCCCTGCAATCTTGGGCCCGATGGTCATGGTGATGGGGTCGGTCATCACTACCAAGCCAAGGCCGACTCTCCTCAGCGATGGAAACCGACTCTCGGGACCACCTGACGCATCACCGAAAATGAGTAAAGGTTGAGCCAGCGTGCCGCTGCCAAGGCACTCAGCTCCAAGTGGGCATTCAAGATCAACAGCTGTCCAGTCTTCCTGCATAGCTGGCGCTGGGGTAGCCGTCATATGTCTCGGAATCAACCCACGATACCACAGACATGCATCACTGTCGCCTTGTGCCAAGGCTGCTGGTACCAACTTATCTGAGTCGGTGAAGGCTTTGGCATTA